GTCGCTGCGCGACTCGGTAACGCGACTCGTCACTCGTCGTCGAAGAAAGTGACGTGTGTGATTTCGAGCTGTGTGCGCGCGCGCCTCGGCCGAGCAATTTTCACAAGCCCCGGTGGAGCCGGTCAAGGATCCGCGCGGTGACGCGGTCACGCGCGTTCGGAAAGTGTCAACGCGCGCACAGGCGCGATGCAAATGAACGGTCGAGGCGCGATACGCGCGCGCCGGTATAGGAGAAATGTGTCGTACGTATCGAGGCGAGCACATGCACTCTCTGGCAGGTTGTGTATCCGGTCTGGGCTTTAGTATGCAGGCGGTGCGCCCGCGTATAGGTGCCCACGCACGCCGGAGAGGGGCAGCTTCCGATTCTGATTTATTGGAATCCTCCGCTTCCGATATTTTATCCGATGCCTTCACGTACACACCGGCGAGACCGGTGCACGCGCGCGAACACGCCGGCGTTGTCGCGCCCGCGACGAATTGCAAGCAGTCCGGGCAGCCCCGGCTTTTAGGTTTACAGGCGGCGTGCAAGGACGTCCGATGAACCGCGTCACCGCGAAATTAACGGCGACCGGGACGATGCGACTGGCGGAGAATAGAATCGAGCGGAATCGAAATGACGGAGATACGCGCGCGTAGATCCGCCCAGTGAGCTTTGTACCGCTGTACCGGAATACGAGCCTTCCCGAGATTATCCTGTTGAAAAGTATAGACGATCCGCCCGTTTCGGTGATACTATTTCCGCTGAAATTCTCCGGATGTTTTGTGCGAAGTGCAGAAAATGCCGCTGGTTGAACCGAAGAGAATCGTTTCGAGGCTTCGCTCCTGTATTAGGTCCGTTTCATTTTGCGTTAAGTCTTCAAGCGGAAAGAACGGGAGTAACTTCTTATTTGTAGCATCAAAGGAGACAATAGAAGACATTTGGAGACTTGGTGTAGAAGTAAATGGACTTGATGCGGGACTAAAGTTTCGACTGGGGATTGTCAACCACGAGACAAGGACAAATATAGCGTGGTTGATTATCTCGTTTCAAATTAATGCATAATGTTGAAACCGTGAGACTTTTGATAGGTAAGGCAGAAGGAAGAAAATGTAGTTTAGCGCCAACTCTATTCTTCTATTTTTTTCTCCTGTTATTTATCATGATAATTATCACGATTCAAACTTCACCATAGGACCAAAAGTTCAATTCAGGTAAAACGAACCAAATACGTAACTTGGCGTTGAGTTCGAAATGTTGAATTTTTAATTCCACACTACGATAAAAGCAAAATAGATTCAATTCTAATAATATAATTTATTCCTACTTTGATCATGATAATATCTCAAACACCCGGTTTCCGCTGTTTTTACCGTCAAAATAGATCGTTTAGAATATTCGTAAGAATTTCAAAATCAAAGTATTGAGAACGGAGATAACGTTAAAATGAAATCTGCAGAATCGAAGGTTCGGGAGAAAAGTTAACAAGTGTAATATCGTCGAAGTAAGTTTCCGTAGATCTAAAAGACCTCCCCCGTCTAAACCGGCGAAAATTGGGAACGTCAAGTCTAACGTATCGAACGACTCCGACTCGGGTCAAAGGCGAAAGGTGCGGCCTGTTCCTCGGCGACAAACGACCGTCCGAGTGGCCTCCCGGAGATCGCCGGGAATCGGAAGAAAATCGCCTCTTCGCAGAGAGCGCGAGAGATCACATCCGTCCAGAGTCGCCCATCCGTCTCGGAGAAGCTTCCCCACGGTTCGCGCCACCGACGTACGCGTCGTCCGTGAGAGACTTCCGCCGTTCCCGGTATCCCCGGCTATAATCTCACTCCTTTCTCTCGGCGGAGTCTACGCTGAACCGATAACAAGTGCGAGCTGGAAGGTGAAGTCATTGGACCAGCAGACAGTGTGTCGCCGCGAGTCGATATCACATGGAGGCGCCCCTGAGGCCTCTCAACACCGCCGCTCGAGTTCATGCTCGCGAGCAACCTGACTCTCTTTCTTTCTCTCTCTCTCTCTCTCTCTCTCTCCCCTCCTTCCCTCTCTTTCCCCCTGTCATCGCGCACGGCTATGACTTCACTCGTTTTCCACGTCGCTCGTTTCAATCCCGCCCGGCATTTACACGTGCGCGATTTATTGTCTTCTCTCCCGAGGGGTGAGCGGAGAGGGGCGACTTTACGGCTGGTATGATATCGGATTATGCGCTGACGTAGATAACACACCGGTGTCAGGCCGGTATCGCTCTTCGAACGCGCGCGATGATGTAACGGGAACGCTTTCTTGCCCGCAGCGGCGAGACGGACCCTATAACGCGCGCGAGGACGCGCGCAAATACCTTTTTCCGATGCGCGCGCGCGCGCGACGAATGCTAATTCACTCGGTCATATATACCCGCGCACTGCCTAGGTAAACATCTACCTGGCGGGAGCCGAGCGGAAGGGGGATCGTCTTTGTCCCTCTCTCGGTCTCGACCGGTGTTGCCCGGCGAGTGTAATTTTCTGGGCACCATTCGTCATTTGACAAATCGCGGCCGTTTAGCGAGCTAACGAGCCGCCGCTCTTCCCTCGCCTCTTTCGGTTTCTCTTCCTCCTCTCGGAAGTCTCGCCGCGACTTTCACCGAACTTCGATTAAGCTAATCGACGAACAACTGTAAGAACCCAGCCAGTACCGATTCCCAGTTGTACGACCTGCTGTTCAACGGTGATCGGAAAGCTCATAATTTCTGGTTCTTATTAATTAGCGAGACAGAACGCGTAATATTTGGGACCGACCCGGGGGATTTTAAATCATCGGCTAGCTCGACTTTGGTGAAAGTCACCCTGAGTTTTCGCGAGGTTCAGCGTGTGGCCAAGGGGCACACGGAAGCGGAATCGCGCTGATTACCGGGCCGTAAAATGGCGGAAGAAACGATCCCGTTTGTGTAATTTGATCTTCCGTTGCCTACGCGCAGAAAAACGCATACCGCGTGCAAGTAAATATTACTCGTTCTTTCAAGTATTTCGTAAGTTTATATATTCGCAAATGCGCAACAAGTTTGTCATAAACATGAAATTGATTCCAAATGTAATCCGAATTTTAGTAAGTTTAGTATTTCAACCAATAATATTAAATTGAAACGAAATCCGGGTCGTTTATTGAAATTGACCTAATCTCATTTTTCTTCGATAAAGTTTTGCAATATTTTTGAAGAGAATAAATTCTTTTAAGTACGTGAAAATGAGCTTCTGTGGAACTTTCGATGAGCATATTTTACGACTGTGATCAAGAAAATATTCCTCCTTGAAGATGACTATTACTCGAAAGAAGAGAAATAATCTGAGTAATCGCTTTTCTTGGCAGCAGAATGATATTTTTCTATGTGTGGGGGGAGGGGGGGGGGCAGATGGAAACTCGGGACGGAAAGGTAGGTTTCTGTAGGAAATTTCCACTCGGTCAATTGCTCTCAGTCGTCTCGATCAAGTTTTCATGCAGCCGAATGTTCACACGAATGTTCTTAGTCACGATAACAGAAATATATCATTTTTCGTCACCGAGTTTTCATCTGGTCCCCTTCGTTTGTAGAAACTGGGTCTTTTCTTTCCGTGCGAAGCAGTTTTTCCCGACGAAAGCGACGAAAGCGAATAAAAGTCTCGCACGCGAAACATCGCCCCTTTGCCCCTTCGTTGCCGTTCGATTTGGTCTCTTTTTTTTTTTTCGGATCGCTCCTACTAGAGAAGAACCTTGAGGAACCGCTCGGGTCCGGTGCGTGATTTATTGTCCTTGAAGAGAGGTAATAAGGTACGATTGGTTGGGAAGATTCTTTCGAAACGAAAATCTCTCGCAGTCGTATTTATCTATCTATCTTGTAAGGCCGATTACCTACGGGACCCGAACCGCGGCTTGTCGATTCCCCTTTCACGAAAACAACAGCGACGGTGGACGATTCGCAAATCACTATTCTCGAAAATGGAATCAGCTTATTGTCACTGAAAGACAGTGAATTCAGTTATAAATACAGCACTGCAATCGGCGAAATATCGGCTGAAAGGATTTAATTAATAGTAGTCAGTGAAATACTACAGATTTTGCAGAGAAATTTTACCCTCATTATCAAAACAAATTTCGACGCAAGACTATAGGGGGAGTTGGATTTGAATGTTTTTATTGAAAATCATTGAATATCGTTGAGAAACTCATTGATATCGATGAAATAATCGATCTTAATCATTCAATCCTGTCTTAATATCTGAATATCGCTTTAATATCTCAACATCTTAGTATCTCGATGTCTTAATATCTTAATATCTCAACCGAATCAGATACATTATCATTGATTCGCTTAAAGCATAGTGCAAACTGAGAGATCAGATATCTAAGGAATAAATATTCTTTATTTTTTACATATTTTTTCCTCTCAGAATGGATGAAGATTTTCTTACCTCGGCGCCTGCGATTCGAACACTTTCACGTATATTGAGATATTTAAACTTTCATTGAAACTTGTATTATTAGATATGCGGGACCACTTTTCACGAATACGTGTATATGTATGTGTGTGCGTATGCGTGAAACAAAACGTGTCAATACATATTCCTATATATTCGCATGTTTGTGTCGCATGCAGAAAGGCAAGAAGCGTAAAAGCGGGATATCGGAGGGCGCGGTTGGTTGATAAAAGCGGTCGGCACGAAGACGGCAGCAGCACGTTTCGCAAGATCGAGATCTCTTTCGTAGGTCTATGCGACTCGTGGAACTACGATCGACGTCCGGACGGCCGGAAGTACTACCATAACCGCCTTCCGCTCGAGGTACCACTCTCGCTCGCTCCGATCCCCTCCCAGAAGTCACGGCGATAATTATCGGCGCGCATCGATCGAGCCTGATCGTCCGTTCGTACCGTCGAGACCATCGCGAGAGAGAAAAATGCGTACGGCTCGAGAGAAAAAATTCGCCGAGAATTCCCGTCTTGTCGTAAATCAATACGCTCGGTCGATCGGCCGTTCTTACTCGCGAAATCGCGGACGGATTGTGGGTCGTTACTTACATAGTCATCGCGCAGAATGCGTGCGTGCGTCAATGCCGTTTTCGCCTGCGTCTCTATCTGCGAGAGGAGCTGTGCGTCTCCTATTTGAACCACGTCCACGGCGGAGTCGACGTAGTAGTCACCGGACAGGCCGCACGGGTTCACCCACTTCGGGATACTGTTCATTCGGTCGTCGTCGCCCATTCTCGGGGCGCTGTGCGCTGCTCCGATAAAGCAGATTGTCCAAAAAAATAATCCTGGAAACAAAGAGGATCATTCTCGATTTGGCGTCTCGTGATGGCCGATTTTCACGTGTAAATCGCTGCCGCATCTTGTAGGTTTACGCAGATGTTGAGCTTGAGATTGCAAGGGTACTCCCCCAAAGCGAATCAGCGATAGTATTTCCGATCAGATCAGGTTAAATATTCTCTCGATGTCATTGATATGATATCATTTACTCACGAATTTTCTCAATGATCAATTCGATCGATACACTGCCACTTAAGCCTTTTTACAGTCTTACGCCTCATTTGATTTTGACTCGCGAATGGAAGATTTCACTGCAAAACCTGTAATACACCGAAGGAAAAACAGAGTTATTTTCGGGGACAACAGTATCCTTTTTCTTTTTTCGTTTTAACCACAAAAATGGTCGAGAAAACTATTTTTCTAGTAAGTATTATTATAGTGTCGGCGATAATAACCTTACGTGCATGTTGCTGCTATTATTTTCGTGGTTGAAATAAGAAGAGGATACTGTTGTCCCCGAAAATAACTATATTTCTTTCTCAGCGTATTCCACTGGCCACTATTAACTAGATTCTTTCAGTGAGATTTTACCGATTGCTGTGCTATGTTTATAAAGGACTTCACTGTTTTTCAATGATAATACACTGATTCCACTTTAGAGAGAGAGAGAGAGAAAGAGAGAGAGAGAGAGAGGAAAAATAAGTTCAATTATACTGAATTGAACACCAATGCATTTATACAGTTTATACAATTACACATTTGTACTTCAAGGTGAAACAACAAAATCAGCTGTTGCCATGCTTTGTGCTTGTTTCCGCCATCAATCATATCGTCTCGCTGAACACCTCGGATGGCGTGCGCGTTTACACTTCTCCGCACTCGAAGAAGGGCACCGTCGAGCGCACCTTATTGTAACTCACATTCGGACACGACGTGGAGGAAGTCGTTCGCGCGGCGGCGGCGACGAGAAATCGGCGAAACAGTTACGTTAATGCGCTCCGCGGCGACGGTCGCGAATTTGCGAGCCGGCCGGCCGATTCCGCGCGACGGAATTCGCTAGCTCCTCGCAGGGGCATCATTAACGGAATTCCGTCCGAAAGTGCCTCCGAAAAGAAAAGACGAGCACAGCAGGGGCACGTCTCAATATACGCCGGTAATCGACGATTTGACGTGAGAGAGAGAAAGAGAGAGAGAGAGAGAGAGAGCCGCGCGAGAGCCATGCCTGCGTGAAATTATCATCGGCAGCTTCCGGCTGCCCCCTCTGTTCTCTCACCCTCGGGGATACTCACTCGTCGATAGTAAGCGGCCAAATGGTAGATTCCGATCGGGGCCCGACTTATGATCATCCGGCAGTTTCGGGATCACCGTACGCCGAATTACGTCCCCGCGAATTCGTCGTCGCATTATTACGCGAGTTACGACCCTTGATGAGGGGCCTCGGATCACGTGCAAGCGCGGCCGGCCGGACGACAAACCATCAACAGTTGCGTACGCATTTGCAGAGGACGTTATAACGACGGACGGGGGCCCCGGCGCATACGATGCGCGTTGTCTGCATTTAATTCGCCCCACCCCCCTGCCGACCCCCTCGCGAGGGCCCCTCTGAAAAATCGAACGCCCGGCGGAATGTAAGCCGCGATGTAACGTCGTCTCCGAACGTCGCGTTACACGCGTTACGCGCAATGTTCCGCGTTTGTCAGCGGACGTCGACCGCCGGTCGAGAACCGCACCGCTCTTTCGCACCGAAACCTGTCCCTCTCGCATGCCGGCGAACTGTCATCGGCGAGAGAGAGAGAATGATTTCCTACCCATCGGGCCGATATTTATCCGACGATATTCGCCGCGCTTACGACATTCTCAACTCGATCGTGTCCGGCCCGTGTCCACGCTGAGAATAAGATTTCTTCAGATTTCATCGATTCCACCGCATCCAGACGAGATTTCATCATCGGCGTGCCCCGAAGAAACGAACGTTTCGATTAATAAGTACCGGTCGTCGGACTCCCCGACGAATACGTCGTCTTGATCTCTAAGTGAAACGTCTGTTTGAAACGGAAAATAATTTTCTCACGAAGAAATTATTCGCTTCGTTTTACATATTTATTGTAAGCGAGTCAAATCTCATCCGGTTAAAAGATATTATTTCAAATCATGGCGTTCCTATTGAATAATAGAGTTTTCTTGAATGAGACAGTGAAATTTTTACTCAAATAAATGGAAATCGTAAATCTAAAGACACCTTTTTCTCTGTGCACACGGAAAACAATTTCGTTGGGAACTGAACATTCTGAGAAATGAAAACTCGACGACGAGAAGTGATATCTCTGTTATCGCGATTGAGAACATTCGCGTGGACATTCAGCCGCGTCAAAATTCGGTTAAGGCAATTGAAAGCAATTGGCTGTGGCTGTATTCCAAAATATGGCGATACGAATGAAAATCTGGGCACGGAAACAAATCTGATTGCGATCTGAAGGAAACAGAATTTCCGGTTCCTATGACTCAAACGTGGCTTTTATAACCAGAAATTCTGTCGCCTTCAACCAAAATGTATCCAGCTTCCCCCTTTCTGCTTAATACAACCAAACTCTTCTCTCATGTATAATTCACGTTACGTACACTATGGATTTTCAGTACTGTCGGTGCTTTCATTACATTTTCGGAATGCATCTTGAAGGTGGAAACCTCCTACAGGAATCTTCCTGTCCCCGCAACCGAATTTTCGCCCGGTCCCCGGCCGGCGGAAACTTCCATTGACGCGTCACTTTTTGCCGCCGAATTTGCACTCCTCGTCATCGATTTTTTACCCGTCCCTATTCAGTCGTAGGAACATTTTTTCGGACATTTTTTCCACTACGATCTTTATTCAGCTGCATGAAACTAGGTTTTTTTTTCTTCAGTACAGTTGAAAATGTTGAAGACGTGCAACGGTATCGATACGTTTCTCGAAACGGAAAGAGAAACACGACGGGTGTCGCCGGGAGAGGCGTCGAAAAGGTCGGCTTCGATCGCCGGGTCGATTTTTGTCACCGGCGAGCGGCCGGGAGGCGCGTTCGCGCGGCCGAAAACCGGAGGTGCACGTCGTGCCTCCTACGAGACGCTAACGAATTTTATTTTAATGTGCACGAACGAATACGCGCGCGCGCGCGCGCGCGATGTGCAGCGTGGCCGGCGGACACGCCGTGCGGACGGAGGGAGGGAGAAACAGAGAAGCGCGAAGACGGAGAAAGAGCGGCGAGATGCTGGAGAAAACGAGGCGCGGGACGGGGCGTGTAGGGGAGACGCCTCGAACACTTAACGCATATTAATGAGCGGCTCTTAAGTGCGTTCTGCGTCGCGATGAGAGAGCAATTTGCCGCGGGGAAGTTTGCGCCCGAAAGTGACGCTGCAGAATCGCGGGAGAGAACCGCGCGCGCGCTTCCGATTTCGTCCGATATTCCCCGCGCCACCTGTTTTCGACTGCGAAAACGCTCTCGACAACGCGCCGGCGTGTCCGATCGCATCCGATTCACCGCCCGTCGGGATGGACACGCACTCTTATTGATGGGTCGTCCGCATAGAGAGTCCAGGACGTTGTGATTTTTCCGCTACTCCGAGAGAAAAGAAGCTGCTATTCGTAACTGTAATCGTCGTGGCGGGAGAATCGTAGTCCGGTGAACGGATTTTCTCTAGCGAGTGTTACTATAACGATAATACATATGCGTATTGACACTACTATATTTGCAGTTAAAACCATGAAAAGTACTCTAGATCGAGAGCTGCACGACTTTTAGCCGTACGTACGTGAGAAAAAAGAATTAGAGAAAAAATTAGAAGATAAAACTTGCTTTCACGAAGGAACGTATTGTTATTCTACATCGTTTCGCGAAGAGTGTCGTATTATTATCATTCAAAAATAACTTTCATTAATCGAGAGGGGGAGAAAAATATTGAATATAGAAAGAACGATACCTTCAAATTGAGAATTGTATCAGTTTGAAGATATTGTTACCTCCGTCCAATATTTCTCCTTCCTAAACCGTGAAAATTATTCTCGAGTAACAAGAATACGATATTTTTCCTAACACATGAAATCATACCTTCTTTTCTTACACGTGAGAGAGAACGTGAGCCTCGGATCGATACTAATTTCTTCCACATTGCGCGCGTGTGTAAGACCGATTTGAAGATGCATTACTCGCGACCGAGACCGCCACAAACCGACCATTAAAATCAGAAGTACTCGCGCGACTTCCAACCTTACCTGCGAAATAAGTCTGAGGAATCGTGAACTTTCGACTAAGGAAATAGTAAAAGGCATACATAAGGCGCGATGGTACGTATAACACGCGCGAGACACGGTAGTAGAGACACGGTTCGTTGATTTTCTCCTTCTTTCTCCCCTCTTTTTTTCGTAATTGGTTGTACAACACGTCAATAAAAATGCCCGTTCCCTCGCTTTATTTTCGTCACGGCGAGCGCGGGGAGCGAGGAGTATCACCGAAGGCGCGACAATCCCGACGGAGAGCGTCCAATTAATGTTCGCTAATGATGTTAGGAGGAAAACACGTGTGCGCACTTGCAGCGTGCTTTTCGTCCATATACGAAAAGCGCTCGTGTCGCACGAGAGAAACGAGGAGGCGCGCTCTCCCGCTCGCTCGCTCGCGCCGCTGGTATTTTTATCCGCGTGTTTGCGCGAACTTCGCGAATGCGAAAACGCCACGAGCGGCGTTACATCTCCTTACTCGTCGTCCCGAGGAGCGTCGTTTACTTTCTCTTATTTCTTTAATTGCCGTTCCCCCGCCCTCCTCGCGGACGTTTAATTGCCATGCGATTAGTCTTCCATGATCGGTCAAATTTGTCGGCAGAGAAAGGGACCGGAGGGAGCGGGGGGGGACGCACTTTCAGACGGGTTCTCTCGCGAAGGAGGAAAGAAATTCAAACGACCGGCCGCGATCTTGTCGCGCTCGGACACTTTACTCTCGCATTTACCTAATCCAGGAACTACGCGCCGCGGACTTATAATTGT